ACTTATTCACAATATTAGGCAAATTTTATGGGTGTTTTTCTTGCATTTATTTAAATTGTTTTCCCCAACATGATATAAAGTAAGTACCTTCCAGTTTGTCATCTCTTGAGAAAAATATGTATCTTCATGATAATTTTGAATTGTATTTTGGACACATTGTCTAAATAATAATATTCCTCAAAGAATTCAAAGAAATTAAAAATTTTGTGTATTCATTCTTTATGATACCGAAATATTAATTTAAGGTTAGGTCCACTTACGATGAATGGAACCAAAATAATTTGTTCTTTATGCTAATTTTGTTGCCTGAAATTTAATCTTTAAAATTTTGGCATAATTTAAATATGGCAATAATTCTAATTTTTGCTTGAATAAATACATAAAATAATTGCATTATTACAAAATAATAAAAGCTTTTTATGAATTTTCGTGATCTTTTTTTATATTTATTTGTGTCAACAAAGAACTTCACATTTTGGCACATTTTGGGAATATTTTTTATTAATTTGGAACATGGAACATCTGTCACATATAATGAATGATTAATAAGTACTATTTGTTTTGGATACAAAAATTGTTTTTTCTTATGTACTTAAGATACACATACTCTGCTAAAGAACGTTTTAGTTATCACAAACTTAGTGCMTTGAGTTAAAAAGACACAGTCTCCAAAATTTGGAAGGTTTAAGGATGGAACTCAGACTTTACTTGTCATAGAAATATGGAAAACCAAAACAGAGAGCAAACAGAAAAGTCTATGATTGAGAAGATCATTTATAAAGCAAGTTTGGATAATTTGTTGTCTTTAGATCTCAGTGGSATGAATTTGACAGCAATTCCTTCAAATTTACTTAGCTTACAACAACTTGAACATCTTTATTTTGAAGGAAATTTAATCCAACATTTACCTMAGGAATTCTTCATTAAACTTGGCAATCTTTTATGGCTTGATTTGAGAAATAATAAGCTGGAAGACATTCCTGTGTGTATAGGGCAGCACAAGAAACTACGCACACTTCTGCTTGGTGGGAATAATATCCACCATCTTCCTGCCGAACTTGGGCAAATTCAAAGCCTAAGTGGACTTAATCTGTTTGGTAATCCCCTGATTGATCCMCCTTTAGATGTGGTTCACAAGGGAGTGTTTCAAATAAAGGCTTATCTTCTAAAGAAGCTTGGGGTTGAAGGAGTAGAACTGTCCACAAGTAGTTCAGATTCTGACACAGAAAGCTTAATTGAGGAGAAAATGGACACTAACAAGGTCGAGAAAAAAGGCAAAGAATGCAAGAAAAGTGCACGGCAGAAAGAAATAAATGTTCATACATCCTACACTAGGTCAAAYACCGGCAGTTTTAACTCTGTACAGCTTTCTAACGATGACTCCACGTTACGCAGCATAATTCCAGATCATGGACCAAGCTGGTTCATTCACAGACCTTGGACAACTGGGGTGTATTTCACAGGATCTTGCHTAAAAAGCAAAGCATATCATTCTGYTTGAGAAAATTAAATGAATGTGATTCAACAGTCACTGCAAGACTCATATTTCTTCTTTTTTTTTTTCTTGCATAGAACTGATAAAATTTTAGGAACATTTGGAGTTTGCAGTTTTGGTTGATTTTTTTTATACGGTTTTGTAGACAATTACATTTAAATTGAATGCAGACTTTCTTTGGTTTCATCCAAAATGCAAGTCTGCAGTCAGGGATGTGTTTTTACTTTGGTTTCATTCAAGTCTGCGGTCAGGGATTTTACAGGTGGTGTAATCCAATTATCTACGGGTATTTCAGTTTCCAGGTTTTTTCCTAGTTTTTGGTAATTTTGTGTAAAATCTTGAAACTGTCAATGTGATTTGTARTCTTRGTCAATTTTTGACATAATAAGTGTGGTTTTTGCCTAATTTTTGAATGTTTTCAGTACACTTCAAGGTCCCCCTCTTGATAAGTTTCACTAGCCATATGGTTTTGCYGAAATGGTTTACAGAAAATGACAAATATATGTTACGAAAAAAGTTACTTCCAAACTTGTTAATAGTCAATATGGCTTTTAAATGAGCCAAAATAAAAAAGAWTTGGTGCCAAAGAATCACTAGAATTTGACTGGTTGACTATCCCCAAGTTTGAGCCTGCATTAGGAAGAGAAACTRGAGGATTTTTAATTTGCTGTCAAAGATGATTTATAATTGTAATTTAACATAACATTTAATTTTTGGTGCTGTGGTTATCTTAAAAGTAGATAATGATCTGCTATAATTTTAGTTTGTGGAAATGTATTTATCAGGTTTTATAGCTTACACTGCTCACAAGTGCCCAGAACTATGTTTGAACACTGTTATGGCATTTGAGAGCATGCATGGTGTTTTAATTTATGCCCATCAAACTGCTTTATACTTTACTTTAATCCTAATATTTTATTTTACTCACATACACTGTAATTTCCTTGTATTTTATTTGATCATTTTCATGTTACAAAATACTCTATTTATTATAAATTAATAAAGTATTATTATTATTATTAACCTCATTTTCCTCTGTTCTTGTATTATTTGTGCACCCCTCCCAGTGACGGGCATGCCAAACAGGGCTTAATTAAAATAATGGCTGATCATTGGCCGGTCATGATCGCAGGCAAAATTAGTTTTAGTTTAGTTATACCTTATTTCTACAGTAGCTAAACGTTACTGGTCAAAAATGACCAGCAAGGCAAAGATTTGACTGGACAAGTTCCAGTTTTTGCCAGACATTGCCTGATGTCTGGTTGTTATTTTAAGCCCCAAAACTAACCCCAAACTAACCCCAAACTAACTCCAGAGTGGACTACACGCGGATAGATGGACTACACTAGTTCTAGTGTAGCCTGTTAAAGAGTAAATGCCAATACATGTGCATTACCGTGACAAACATCTGGGCTGTACTGTAACCCCAAACTAACATTTTATTTTGTAGAATACCATAGAATTCAGGTRTTTCAAAAATGGTATCAAAGCATTTGTATTGCATTTAAGATGTTTTGTTGGCCTATAACTGCAAAACCTTTAAGAGCGATCAAACCCCGAAACAACCTCTAGCTAATAATACAAGTTAGAACACACCTAACTCAAGGTTTTGAAAGGGAGAAAATCTGGGGAACCCAGATAAAACCCTCTAACCAAAGGAGAAACTTACAAATTGCGCGGTCCAGGGGTTGAACTTCAAAAACCCCAGATGCGAGAGGCAAGAGYACTCCAACCAACATATTGAATTGAATCTAACAATTGCTTTTTCTTTTATTGCTCACACAGGCTTTAGCTAAACCTAACCTTTCAAAAACTGTGGGAATGAAAAAGTAAGAATAAGTTGTTGAAAAAGTAGTTCATCAGAACAAAAAACATACCTTCCTTGTCCAAATAAAAAAAGTGAGAGAAATATTTTAGCAATGGAAAAAAATTATGTTGTGGTGAACAGAAATATAAATGAACATTGCATGTTTATGGTCAGTGACTAAGAAAAAAGAAGAGTGTGGGTGGGTGGGGGGTACCAGTGGGGAGCGGGGAGGGGATGTGTGGGTGGGGAGGGGAGGGGAGGGGGTTATACTTGCCAGCCATTTTCCTCCAGTCAGCCCAAAACCTTCAGCCCCATCTCTCAGTGTCTGATAGTTCAGGTTAATTTAATGATAATAAAATTAAGGTGTTTTTATTGCTTGGAAAATTATTAAAGATGTTTAATTGTGTATCATTGAATCCTGCCTGGAGATGGGTATTTTTTTTCCAAGAAAAAAATTGCTTGATGAAACGCAATTCAGGTCTTTAATTTAAAAAATGTCATACTCTTTTTTTTCCCYAGGAAAGAATATCACAAAGATAGACATACTTTGAATGGATATGTTGTATTTGAAAAAAGAACTAATGCTGTTGCGGCTCTTGAAAGGTGCATGAATATATAAAAGTTATATCAATATACTTAATCGATTACTATTCCTATGGTCATCATCATCACCATGCATTGTCATTCACAGCATTGCTATTCTAAACATGTGAAGTTACCATCATCACTGACATCAATAAACAACCATTTGTATCACTATAATTATCATCATTATGATCATCATCATCACCTTTTCAAAGAACACTAGCATCATCACTATCATGATCATCATTATCACCATCATCATCACCATTATGATCATCATCAACACTACTATCATCGTAAGCAGTAGGGGTAATATTAATCATGACCCCATTCTCTATATCATGTATTTTGCAGAATAATCTTATCTCATATTTTTTTATTAATCTCTTCATTCATTTTTTTCTTCAGCAATGGTGAAGAGATTGAAGGAGTCCACATAAGAGTTGATTTGGCAAAAAATGATAAGGTGATTGTTTAGACAATGGTGGCTTAACCACACTAGGGGTGGGAAGAGGGATCATTCAAGACRTCAAGGGAGGGGATGTGGAGCCACCATTCCATTCATCATTCATTTCGGTGTGTTGCCTGTTCTTAAATCATCTTAGTGACTGGTTATTCTGAGGGGAAGCGTAGGTTATGTCAATCAAAAAAAAGACACAGTCCTAGCTGTGTGACCCCCCTCCCCACACACACACACGCACCCCCACCCCTCCCCTCCAAATCCTGATTTCCTCTGACCTTGACCAAACACCCTAGTTGAACCACCCCTCCCTTACCTCCCCCACAAGATATCTCTTTATCAAATTGAGGGAGCTTCATGGAATCAACATGGTTATTGCCAAATCAGTTTGATAGCTACTCTATTTAAAACAAATTGACAAGTATTGTAATTGAATGTTTTCCAGGACCATGATCATTCTAGATCAGTATTTGTTGGTAATTTACCTTTTGGTAAGTAAATTTATGATATACTCCTGTTGTGATGTTGTATATRTAATGGTGAACGGTGTTGTTTTGCTTGCTTGTACATTAGGTGCCTTCAACATACATACCTCTGATAATGACTAGCAGTTACTAGTTGGGATTATTTTGGCATGTTCAAATATAACAAAAAATGTTTACAACTGCACTGATATTGGACATTGGTCCTTCAGCAGAGTAAAAAAGATATATATATATATATATAGTTCCATTTTTCATTCCATCATGTGTATGAAGTGCATGTTCAAGTTCAAGTTTATTCAAGTTTATTCAAATAAAGTAAATGTGCATTGCAAATATACACCACTTACCTGCAAATAGTAAAACTAGTGTATTTCACTTTGGCGTGCACTTTTATCTATTTAAATGGTTGCCTTTATTTTGCTACTGTTTTGTTGAGTCAATCTAAATCTTGTGATTTATATCCAGGCATTGAGGAAGAGCAAATAAGACAAGTGTTCAAARAATGTGGTGATATTGAGTCTGTAAGGTTAATAAGAGACAATAAAACAGGAATTGGCAAAGGCTTTGGATTTGTACTATTTAAGGTAAGGTATCAAGAGTATTTTATTTATTTCCAATGCCAGTAATACATGTACATGCCTGTATTTCTCTTTAGACTATGTGCTTGATAAGATAGAGAAATTTTGTCATATCAAAATAATGTTAAGGTTGATGATGCTAGTTATGATGGTAACCATAACAACTACAATAGTTTCCTAGAATATAATACAGAATAGAGTAAATTYCCTATGTCTGTGAAACAGCACTGTACACGGCACTGTCCTAGTTCGTATTTGATTACATCTAACAAACCAATCACAGCATGCGAGACAATTGCTCAACCAACCATAATACTTAGACACAGGGCTATTCCTTATGTATTTTACTCATATAAAGTCTTTTCTAAGCAAAAATGTTATGCCCTCTAAGGCTCAGGTCAAACATCGAACTTCCCATTAGCTGAACCTAATAATTGAAACAGTTAATAACAAGGCAGTCTTCTTTGATGTCATTAGATTCAGTTCATGTAAAGTTTAAAGCTTAACTTTAGTCTTACTTATTGAAATAATTTTGGCTAATCATCTTTTATCTTCTCTTCTAGGAAAAGGATTCAGTAGGTTTTGCTCTCAAGTTAAAGTTGCCCGAATTTAATGGAAGRTCAATAAGAGTATTTCCATCATCCGAAAACCCCAAAAAGGGTTCGTTAATTTTTTTTTGTTTATCCTCCAATGACTTATCTATTGCTCAGGATTCTGTTGTGTTTTGTCCATCTTGGGCTTTACTTGAAATTACTGCAAAAAGTTATGTACATTCAGACGTAGATCCAGAGGGGTGAATGGGGTGGTTCATCCTTCAATCTTCTTTTTTCTCCATTCTTTCATCCCATTTATTTAACTAACTATCCTTCRTTCCCATTTTTCCTCAGGTCATTTCTCAAAGGTCAAAAAAGGCAAGCCGCCGACACACTCATTTAGTGGTGCTCAAGCTAAGAAAAACCTAAAACTGAACATACCTAAACATACAAAAAGAAAAGAAAAATTAAGAAACAAAACAGGGGCTAAGAAATCTAAAGCTCGTAGCACTAAACGATCCACTGCTTACAAACAAGCACAAGTGAATGAAAGAAAACAAAAGAAATAAAAGTTACATTAAAATATTTATTTTATTTTCATCATTTCTGTCTAATTTCTTTGGTAATTGATTTTTGTGATGTTCATTATTGCTTTTTTTGGCACTCAATAAAAGAAATAGAGGATATTACATGGGCACACGGAGATACGAAATTTATCTTCRAGTGTTGAAAAGATCTCTCACGAGTGAGCACAGCGAACGAGTGAGAGATTTTCAACAYGAGAAGATAAATTTCRTATCTTCAAGTGCCCATGTAATATTCTGTTTATTATATATTTATCCATAAAATCAACTTAATAAGCTTTTTATCATTATAAAAAGTTTTTATTCATAAACTAATAGCTTAATTACACATGGTAACAATWTTTTCACATGTGAAAATAACATGTTATTTTCACATGTGAAAATRTCAGTTTTTCGAAAAGGGGGAATATAGGTATTTTATAGATAATTATATGATAAATCAAGAGATAATATAGAGATAAACTCCCTTGAATAACTGGATAAAGTGAGCTGCATAAACATTGTGAAATCCAAATCAGCAGAAGCTACTGTCTGTAATAACCAAGTAGATAACCAAGTTTATTTAACAAAAAAAATGGTTATACTCAAGCTAATAGTGATAAAGAATATTACATTGATGAACAAAGATATCATTTCCTTGAGCGAAGATATTTATGGTCATATAGTATCTCTGTTTTCATYGTTATGCACTGATCCAGACAACAGTCGCAACCGGCAAATCGTCTGAGCAATAGCCTACTGTCAATCAATAGCGCAGCACAGTCCTGACGTCATAAAAATGAAGACAAAGGCGAAATTCGGACAAACAAACTTACAAGTTTACTTTCAGCAGATAATTTTCACAGCCGATCGCAGTTGATCTTAGTTTACATGGGTCATTATTGTAACTTTATGTAAAAATAATAAAATCGGTTTGTATAATCCTCGTAGCGGTTAAACATAATGCAATGTTTGTCTGAATCTTTAAGCTATTTTTAGAATCAGTGGGCTGCGCTATTAAATCCTTAGAGTAAGTAGAGGGACATGGAGACCCTAACTCTAAAAATTTATTTCATTGACAGTAGTCTTTTGCCCAATTTTCCTGTCGTGCCTGTTGTCTTGTTCAGCATGTGATAATTGATTTCAGTTAACTTTATTGGAAAGACAAAACAATTTTGAACAATTTGTAAATAAAATAATCACAATCAAACAAAACTTCCAAGGTCCATGTCTTTTACAGCACTAAACATGCACATTGAAGCATATCCTAATCCCATTTCAAATGAGAACACTTAAAAATGTCCATTCTCATTTCTATTTAAAATTTTATTCTTTATAGTAAACAAATTTCCTGATGGAACTTAAACAGCTGATTTAGAATCATTCTAAATAACAGAACAGGATCGAAGAAGTTATTTCACCTCGGATCTTATCATTATTTTCTAATAARACAATTATAAGTTTCATTTGGCTTTGTTACTATCGTACCTTATCAACTTTCTTCCAAACAAAATCGAATTTTCGCGGGTTTTCTGTCAAATCGGATGTTATGGCCGTACCGGAAGTGAGCGATTTCGCGTGTATTCCACCAAATATGGTCAAAGTTAAATATTCAACAGGCTTCTTCCGGTGGATTGTAGCCAATCAGGTGTTAGGACCCCCCTGAGCCCGTGGCGAGGAGGGAAGACGAGCGTCTTGTTGTCCTGTGTGTCGGCCATCAGAAAACTAAAATCTTCAGTTTGAAGTTTTCCTTGACTTTTTTGGCAACAATTGTAGGCCCTGATCTCTGCCACGAGTTGGGAGGGAGGGGGAAATAGCATTGGAGCATCTCATATGGTAAGTTTGTTTTCTACTAAAGCATATCAAGTCCATGTTGACATTTTTTCTCAGAAGAAATTTTCTTGAAATTCTTCACTCAAAGGGTTTGAAATGGGTTCTTAAAATTTGTGTTTTCTGACTGTTGTGTTGGGATACAAGCTTCACACTCTTGTATAAGTTCTGTATCGTTACACAAAACATCGTAAAGATCTGTGTTTTCGTTGTAAACGAAGGTTTTCTCTTTTYCGAGTACAAAGTGTTGACTTCTGAAGCAGGGACTATCAAACTTGCTTTAGGCATGTATGTTAGCCTGTACACATTCAATCCTGATTTTTTCTGTTTTCACAATACTTCATTTACCTTATCTTCCCTTTATTTTGTGACTTGGGCCTCCTTAATCATTTGTCCAAGTTTGTAGCTAAAAATTAGGAGATTTTGTTATCTTTTTTGAGCTTAAATTACTAGCTGATTTGCTTWAAGTATCTTCACTACGTTGCATGAAAAAAGTAGTGGTGCATATCTATACCATTGGATTTATACACTTTCCCTGCTGAATTTATTTCCCAAACGAGCAGAAAAGTTAATACAATGTTTAGTCAATGTTTCTGTGAATTTTGGCGAAGAAATATTGAAGTTAAGTCATATTTTTTCAATCAAATATCAGTGCAATGCTSTTAAATCATTGCCCGGTCAGTTAGGCTCGAGTTTGTTTACGAATATTTATTCGAACTAGCTCATGCACACGCTTTTTGTCTCTTGTATTCCCATCAGCTGAGCCAGTTCCTTTCAAACAAATTCCYTCAAATTTTAAGAAAACATTAAGCAACCCAATAGCTTTGTTTGGAACAATTTTTGTGGATTTTTATAGAGTAGAACAGTTTTAAATCAGAGATTTCTGTTGACAAAGTCCAAGAGTATTMAACGAAAAGACAGCCATGTGTAACAACAGACTCATCGAGTTTCCTCGCTTTGTAACTGCAAAGACTCAACACGAATGCATTACCTTTTAGTAAAAAGCCTCCTAAACATTCCTGGAGTTGTGTAGTTTGACAGGAGCCAGTTTATCAGTCCTTTTCGGATATATTAAGTCATTTATTATTCAAAGCCGATTCTGCTCACGTCATGCGAGGACCGTCTTTTTCTTTCTTGTTCTTCAACAAGTGTCTTGGTTTWTTCTCTCTCCCTTTAGGCTCAGGGATCTGAAGAACCTCCCTTCTTGAAAGTAGGAACAGAAGTCAGTGCTAAGTATCGTGGRGCATTTTGTGAAGCTAGTATCAAGATTGTCAAAAAGCATGTAAAGTGTAAGGTTGGTATCTTGTGAAATGTGTCTTTACACTACCGTACTACCTTACGTGGGGTTTACACAAAAACATCACAAAGGTTTCCCTTAATCTCTTCATTTCACTCACGACAATCTACTTTGAACACTCTAGATTCAATACAAAGATAATACTACTGCTACTCTCACTGATGATGTAGTCAAAGGAGACTTGAAGGTGAGTTTTTTTTGTTTTTCCCCCTTGTTTTCCATGGTGTTGTCATTCATGTTTTTTCTTCTTCCTTATCTCGTTCAGGTTGGATCAAATGTTGAAGTCAAAACTCCTGATGGAAAGATCATGAATGGAGTAATCATTAAACTCACAGATGCTAGTACTTATACTGTGGGTAAGTGTTTCAGTATAAGCAAGTTGAAATGTTATGATCAGTGTGTGTGACTCCAGATAAAATGTCCATCCTGGTCAGATAAACAACTATTAGGTTACAACTGCTCTGTTTATGTCTAATTACAGTGTTTGATGATGGGGATGAGAGAACTCTTCGAAGATCATCCCTCTGCCTCAAAGGCGAGAGGCATTTCAACGAGAGTGAGGTAAGCATCCAACACTTAGATTCCTTGCTTTATTTTGAAGTTAGGATAGATAGTATGGATGTAAAGACCAAAATGTTGGTCAAGATCAACAAGGTTATACAYAAAAATTAATTCATGAATTATCCTTCCACGTCCAGACTCTTGATCACTTACCTTTAACAGATCCAGAAAATTTTGGAACTCCTGTAATGCAGGTAAGGATTTAAAAAGACTCACTATAATCCTTTTAAAAACAAATAATTAGGTATCCCTCATGCCTTCTATGTCATTTTTTTCTGTATCCTCAATTGACAGTCTTTTTATTTCCCTGTTATCATAATGCTATTAAATACTACTTAGAATGCTACGTATATTTAAAGAGGCATAAAGCTTCCTGTTAGAGAATGGAAGGGAACTTTGATAAGCTGTTTTCTTTTATGATAACGTGCTATATGTTAGGAGTGAAAATATGCTTTATGCTATATACACCAGTTAAAAAGTAGGTGTTAAGATAAATCCTTCAGTGATTTAATGCTTAATGTAAATAAAARGGAAATTTAACCTGATATATGTAGCTGTACTTACTCACCTTGAACTCACTAAACTCTTTAAAACCTTTAGCTCATAATAATTGGACCTTGAAGTTAAGAGATGAACTATAAGAATTTATGTAAACATTAGAATCATAACTGAAGTCAGGATTATCACAGGTGTATCTATACTTTCAAAGACTGAAAAACCCAATATAATATAAATATATATAAGGTATTTTAGTACTCATAGAAGGTACTAATCTGAGAAACTGGTTGTAAATCTGCTTGTTTCGTCTGGTTCTTTGTTTTTCAAACATCTTGACCCAATACAGGGGAAAAAAGCATGAAATTAACCAATTTATTAGACCATTGTTAGATTYGTTATTTCAGAGTGTAYATATRTATATAWATWTATMAWKTTWTCAWSTTWKC